TGGCATAGTGGGGAAATCAGCATGGTCTAATTGCTCCGTCTCAGGATGTCTATATCCTTACCAAACTTGCCCTCAGGTGGGTGCTGGGGCTGCCAGATCATCTGCAAAACTGCCAAGGAGAGCTGAGAAGGACAGTATGCAAAGAAAGAAAACTCTTCAAATTACCAGGTACCATTATAAGTAAGTTTGCAAAGAAAACAGCAAATTATGTCATAAAACACTCCAATTAATTTGAAAATATTGTTCTCAAGGATGCAATAAGCTATAATATTAATTTAAAAACATATATTTTACTCCTGATGTCCCAGTACTATATACCCATTTAGCTGTGGTTCAAAAGGAACTAGAAGCAAAATAAAAATTACATTTAAAAAGAGCAGAGAATAGGGGCACCTGGCTGGCTTAGTGGGTGAGCACACGACTTTTTTTTTTTAAGATTTTATTTATTTATTTGACAGAGATAGAGAGCACAAGTAGGCAGAGAGGCAGGCAGAGGGAGAGGGAGAAGCAGGCTCTCCGCTGACCAGGGAGCCCGATGCAGGACTCGATCCCAGGACCCTGGGATCATGACCTGAGCTGAAGGCAGCTGCTTAATGACTGAGCCACCCAGGCGCCCCATGTAAAGACTTTCAAAAGTTACTATTAAAAATTAATTTTAAAATAAAACTTATTTTTTAAATCATTAAGTTATTTATTATTATGAGACAAAAGTATTTATATGTGCTAAGATCATAGGAAATCCAAAAGAATCTATAAATAGAAACAGAAAGGTTTCAGCAAGATGTTTTGAGAAATTAGTACCGTACCAAAAACAAATAGCTTTTTGATATATTAGCACAACAAATTAGAAAATTTAGTAGGAAAAGGTCTCATTCTTGATTGCCTAGGAAGAACCTTCCAAAAAGTTTAAAACATCTAATAGAGAAAAAAAACTATAAAACTTTACTGAAGGGCATGGAATAACTTATAAAACATTAGTAAAATGTCAAAATGGTTTCCATGAAGAATTTATAACATAGAAAAATGCTTAGGCAATGTTTAGTGGAAGGAAGGAACAAAAATGTACATAGATATGAACACAATCATGTAAAACAAACAAAAGCTATAGAGAGAGAGAAGACTGAAGAAAATCCACCCTGACATTAACAAAGGTCATGTCTGCATAGTGGGGCCCAAAGAATAATGTTTTCCTGTGTACCTTCATTATTTTTCAAATATTTTGTAACAAACACATAGGTTTTCAACAGTTTATAAAAAGATTTCATAAAAATAATATAATGTACTTACCATTTAAATCGCTGCCTTCTGAAGTTCCATCAAGAGCAGAAAAATTCAAATCAAATGTATACCGTCCCAGGTAACAGTGTTTTACCATCTGATTCAAATGTTCATAAAAATGGCAGTGATATAAAAGAGCCTGAAGGGCAGGTTTTCCCGTGAGCGATAGGCCAGAATCCTCATCGTGGACACAAGGGCCCTGTAGGAAAAGAAGGAGAGAAAAAGAAAGACACACTGATTTATAACGTAATTTCTTCAAAAAGACCTGCTGTCTGCCCCACATTCCCCTCAATGAATCAAACGGGTCCCAGGTGCTACCATGATCCTTCCACCTGCCTCTGTCCCTCCATACTCGAAGCAGCCTGACTTAGGGCAAATATTTCATAGTCCTCTAAGTTTTTGCTGCCTAAAAATCCTCTGAAGGCAGAAGGCTGCTCCATTCTATCTCTTGAGGGATAAACATTAGCTTACAATGTTTCTATGAAATGGTACAGTTTTAACCAAGCAATTACATACTTGAGCCGCAAATACAATAAAAGCAGTATTTTTCAACCTACACAGAATAAAATAAGTATTCAAATATCTGAAATAATGTGATCCAGTAATTATGTTCCAAATTATTTTTTGCACCTATCAATATGCCAGATAAAAATGAAAAGACTCATCGCCATCCAGGATAAAACTTGTTTGCCACACCACTTCTCACTGAATTAATCCTGCCAAAGCAAACACGCAGGCATGCAAGCACGCACACACACTTTCCATCAGGAGGCTAAGAAGAGTCTGCCGTTACACAATTTTAATCTCACTACACTTTTTTCCAAACAATGTTTCTCACTGCCATTCACTCCTTTTCCTAGAATACCCAGTGGCAAAAATCAAGCACTCAGGATACGTTTACAGTTTGCAAATAATCCTGTCACTAACTTATAATTATTTCTGTTTTTGGAAAATGATAAGGTTATGATTTTTAAAACAGACCATAAGAGAGAGAAAAATAAAAGAAAGAAAACAGAAATCTAAGTGCCACCAGGAAAGGTATGGTCAAAACATATTCAAAGTTTATCATTAACCGTGAGATTTATGTACGGGTCATTTTTCTCATGTCTGCTCATTAGTAAGGAAACATGGATGTTAAAACTTACTATCCAGGAAGATAAAATAATTCACAAGTTAAAGGTATAATTAAAACAGTAAGATTATTTCCATTAATCTTTCTTTTTCAGGATATTATCATTATAATCAAACCTCTTATTTCATTATTAAATACCTTTTATGGTCATGGATTTATTGTTACTCTTCATCAAGACAGCAATTTACAGGGCACCTGGGTGGCTCAGTTGGTTAAGCGACTGCCTTTGGCTCAGGTCATGATCCTGGAGTCCCTGGATC